GATGAGGCATTAATTAAAAGCACTCTGTCACTGAATCATTTTTAACCATCACAGAAAAATCTAAATGCTGTAAATTTATTACTATAACTGAATTTCTTTCTTTTTCTTTCCTTTTTTTTGGTTAGAAATTTAATAAGTAAAATGGGTAACATAAACATTTGGGTGTTGCAATTGAGTTTTGTAGCGTTCACTTGTTAGTTATAGCAAAAATTTATTTTAGTACTGTTATTAGGTTGGTGCAGGGCTCCCATTTAGGCAATAAAAGATTTAGTCTTGACTGTTTAGTTACAAACAAATACGACAGTATAATGAAGGCTAAAATCATAAAAAGCAGCAGAAAATAATTTAAATATCCAACTCTCTTCTATAAATACTTTTAAACTTGAAATRTTCACTCCCAAGTATCTCATTTAAATTAAGATAAACACGTGTTTCAGCTCAAACTGTCAATCTGTTGCTGTGCTTTTATTTTTATCTGACAAACTTACAGTAAGTCTTGTTTTTAATCACACAACTTACACACTGTTTAATAAAACCCTGCYAGGTCACCATGATTAGTCAGCACAAATAACGTTAGCCAAAATATACCTCCTCCTCGTACGTCTGTAACATGACAGATTATCACAGATTCAGGGAACGTAAACARTACCTGTTGTTAACTCTGGAYRCGTTCGGKTCATTCGTGAGGTGTTTTTGTTCCGGTGCAGAAACATCGAGGATGTGCAGAGCATTGCGCGTTGTCGTCTTTTCTGTTTAGTTTTAAATGTTCTCATGCTTTTTATAATCTCTCGTTTTCTGAGCGCTTCATTTCGGCRCTGTTCGTCTTTGACTAAAGCTAAATATAACACTTAGCAAGCATACACGCATGACACATTAACAGTGTAATTGTTAGTGGAAGCGCTAACGTCGTAGCATTGTGTAACACAAATAACATTCCGGGCGGATGAAAGTGCGCTGATTATATATAATATATACTGTATGTATTTTTTTACAAAGTTTCAAGGCAGATAATTTGGCTCGAGGATTTTTTGTAATCGAATTACTTGAGGAATCGTTTCAGCCCTAGACCCTGAACATGAAAAAGTGGCTTTTTGGAAACTGGATGGATGTACAGAGAACATAAAAATGAAAAAATTAAATAAAATAAACAAAAAAAAAAGTCACTTGACACAAATTAGGCAAGTTTATTAAAGTTTGCAAAACCATTGTTGATTATGGTTTTAGGAGATGCACCAGTGGCTACTTGTATTTTTATCACTTGCTTGTTTGCGTTATTAATGTTATATAATGGCTCAAACAGTACTGCTGTTTATTAGAGACCTTTTTTTTTTCAAAAACAAACTAAAAAGCAACAACATACAGATTATTCTTAGGGCCCTATAAAATTGTTTTAGTTTTTTTTCTCCAAAATTTTTATTTTTCCCAAATTTTGTTTTTACTTTTCTAAATTCTGCTTTTCGATTTTTTCCCCTGAATTCCACATTTTCATTCTATCCATATTTATTAACCTGAAAAGTGTGTAAATTACACACTTTGTTTAAGTGTCATTACAAAGTGAATGAAAAATAATTCAACAAATGAATAGCCATGGAAATTAAAATTTTAATGTCTGTTATTTCACTTTCACCTATATAGCAAATTGTTGTGGTCACACCACACCACACCACAACACCTTTATTTACAAATCACTTTAAAAAGCACAAGGCCAACCAAAGTACTGTAGAGTAGACAGGCACAACAGGACATAGTTAAAACTACAGTCAAAATACAAATCAAAATATGGAGCATTTATATTTACAGTACATATAGAACATTACATAGAACAGTACATATAGAACATTACATAGAACAGTACATATAGAACATTACATAGAACGGTACATA